GATATCATTTGTTTACTTGTTCATATAATTCGTGTATGAACATGCAGTCTTTCTTTGCGTTGTGCCATTGGTACAAAAGCGGACCCCTCGATAAGGAATATCAGAGAAGGTGCTTCTTATATACTGTACAATATCAGAAGAAGAAAAAAATCAAGGAAATTTAATCAATTACAATTTACACGGCGATCGAGAACCTGCGAGACGAAAGGAAGAACTTGGAAAACACAAACGAATTCTAGTGAAGGAAAAGAGAGTCTTAGTGGTGTACAATTCCGGTATCGTGGTGTGCGACGCCCTTGTAGCTGACTTCAGGGTGGTAGCCGTGTTCGTCCACGTAGTACTTGACCGTCTGGAGCCGCCCGTCGGGGAGGTGGACGTAGTACACGCCCTCGGTGTTGTAGCCGTCGCGAGATTCAGCGTGGCCGAAGTTGGCGCCCTTGTAGTCATCCTGGACGCCGTAGTTGAAGCTGTAGTGAGCTGGAGCCTGTGGGTTATAAGTAGGGGAACTTAGTATATGCTTAATTTTCGAGCTTACTTCAAGTTTGGTTTGGGTTATAAGTGCTTTAATGTTCATATCTCAAGCTTACTTCGTTTGGTTTGGGTTATAAGTATACATGTTCATTTTTCGAGCTTATTTAAGTTTGGTTTGGGTTATAAGTATTTTATGTTCATTTTTCGAGCTTACTTAAGTTTGGTTTGGGCTTCAAGCTTAGTTTGGTTTGGGTTATAAGTATTTTATGTTCATTTTTCGAGCTTCATGTTTGGTTGGGAGGCTATGCTGTTGGTCTGGACTTTCAAAATTACCTTGTCACCTCTTTAATATAAGCTATAATGTATCCTTCATTAAATGAGGCAAAGAGTTAATTCTTACTAAAATATCTCCCAGGAAAGGAACATTATCTGATAAAGTATGAAAAGAATCAAGCACATACTTCACAACAAAAAAAAAAAAAAAAAAAAAAAAAAAAGAAAATGCATAAAGCTCTAGAATTGACCCACGTAATGTATCCCTGTTGAACCTACGCTGGGATGCACAGGAACAGGAACGGGATGAGCAACAGGGACGTGCTGAACAACGGGAACGGGGTGAGGCACAGGGACGGGGTGAGCGACGGGCACAACGGCGGCCTCATGGTGGACCTCGACGGTATGGTGAGCTACGCCTCCATGGTGACTGTCAGGGGTGTAGATAGGAGTCCCATGGTGTACGTCCACTCCATGGTGGTGAGTGCCGGCATGGTGGATGTTAATGCCATGGCCGTGACCTAATTGTGCGGGTTTGGCCACCGCCGCGGCCACCACAGCCAGAAGGACAGGAACCTAAAGGAAAATAAGGAGGTTGCGGCTGTAGGAAAATAAATAGGTTGTGTCTGTAGGAAAATAAGGAGGTTGTGTCTGTAGGAAAATAAGTATGTAGAAAATAAAGAGGTTGTGTCTGTAGGAAAATAAGGAGGTTGTGTCTGTAGGAAAATAAGGAGGTTGTGTCTGTAGGAAAATAAGTAGGTTGTGTCTGTAGGAAATTAGGAGGTTGTGTCTGTAGGAAAATAAGGAGGTTGTGTCTGTAGGAGAATAAGGAGGTTGTGTCTGTAGGAAAATAAGTAGGTTGCGGCTGTAGGAAAATAAGGAGGTTGTGTCTGTAGGAAAATAAGGAGGTTGCGGCTGTAGGAAAATAAGGAGGTTGTGTCTGTAGGAAAATAAGTAAGTTGTGTCTGTAGGAAAATAAGTAGGTTGTGTCTGTAGGAAAATAAGGAGGTTGTGTCTGTAGGAAAATAAGTAAGTTGCGTCTGTAGGAAATATGGAGGTTGTGTCTGTAGGAAAATAAGTAGGGTGTGTCTGTAGGAAAATAAGAAGGTTGTGTCTGTAGGAAAATAAGTAAGGTTGCGTCTGTAGGAAAATAAGGAGGTTGCGGCTGCAGGAAAATAAGTAGGTTGCGGCTGTAGGAAAATAAGGAAGGAGGAGGTTGTGTCTGTAGGAAAATAAAGAGGTTGTGTCTGTAGGAAGATAGTAGGTTGCGTTTGTAGGAAAATTAGGAGGTTGTGTATGTAGGAAAATAAGTAAGTTGCGTCTGTAGGAAAATAAGTAGGTTGCGTCTGTAGGAAAATAAGTAGGTTGCGTCTGTAGGAAAATAAGTAGGTTGCGGCTGTAGGAAAATAAGGAGGTTGCGTCTGTAGGAAAATAAGGAGGTTGTGTCTGTAGGAAAATAAAGAGGTTGTGTCTGTAGGAAGATAGTAGGTTGCGTTTGTAGGAAAATTAGGAGGTTGTGTATGTAGGAAAATAAGTAAGTTGCGTCTGTAGGAAAATAAGTAGGTTGCGTCTGTAGGAAAATAAGTAGGTTGCGGCTGTAGGAAAATAAGGAGGTTGTGTCTGTAGGAAAATAAGGAGGTTGCGTCTGTAGGAAAATAAGGAGGTTGTGTCTGTAGGAAAATAAGTAGGTTGTGTCTGTGTCCCTGGGTCATGGATTCAGCGCACGGGTGACAGAGCTCATTGAAGCGATGAGAAA